GAGAACAGCATTTGAAACAGTTCAAGATTCATCACTGAGAAGAGTTTAATAGTGGTTTTTCTTATTATTTTTATTTTTTATTTTTTTTTAAGACTACAATATTCTGATATAAAAAGTAAGCCAGTTAGCTCCTTTCTTGGGATATGAACTCACCTATACGAGTCTCCATCTCTGTTGTAGTCACACAATAGATAGTCTTTTCCTACCACCTTATCCCGTGCAATCTTCAATGGCTGATCAACAGAGGAGAGGAGATCTTCACAGAGGCTTGGGACCTGATGGATTGGAGAAAAAACAGAGAGAGAAGAAAGGGTAATATATTAAAATTAGGAGAGCCTGGTATCCCTAAGAACAGATTTTGTTATTAATAGCTCACATCTGTCCCAAAGCCAGAAACCTTTAGAAAAAATAAAAGAAATAAGAAAAAAAACCCTGCACTTAAATTACAACACCGTCCTAGGCTCCCACCTCCAATAATTTCAGATTTAATTACCTAACCACTAGTGTGGTCCAGCACACTTAAATATATACAGCCTCAATGTTAGCTTCTTGCCAATGACATCTAGTAAAGTGATTGTTGAGGACTGATGAATAAAGGTAAATATTTATAATGGAGTGGAAACTAGGGAGCTGCTAAAAGAATATGCCATCCGTATGCTAGAGAGTATTTTTCACGAGCTCCCACTCTGGGTCGAGTTTAGAATAGTTTCCAGGCAGCTGGCCAAACATTACCACGTTGGCTAATAAAAATACATGTGTGCGCACGCGTGCACTCATGTAAAATCAAACATCTCCTACACAGGTAGCTTATAATGGATTCATAATCCCAGCTGTCTCCATGCACTTCAAGTGGAGAAAGACGGTAAATCTGCTTTTAACATGGCCGAGAAGCTTAGATGTACTGCAAAGAGACAAAATTACATTTTGCAGCCTGAGGCTAGCATGAAAGCAAGCCAAGCAAACAGAGCAAATTCCATCCCATGGTCACTTGTTCCGGAGCTGATGGTGGCCCTGGTATCAGTATCAATATTCCTAGGCTGTGGCTGAGCCAGGGGAGGAATTCCATCTCAGGGCATGTGCAGCACTGTTATCACCTGGGGGTTGACTGAACCATCCCAAAGCTGTTATTAAATAATTGGTGTATGGTGCGTTTCCCTCAAGAAAAGAGTTCCAGATTTCGCCCTGAAGGGAAAAGGACTAAAATAAAACATCCTTTCCCCGCAGAAAGTTGGGAACACAATGGAACAACTGCTAAGTTCTTGAATATGCTGGTGACAGCAACGAGTTAATACAGAAAACGGAAGAAATAACTGATGTGAAATCTCTTCTACATTTCATGCTACATTGTAGAGATGAAAACCTGATTGAAAACATCGAGACAAAAAGCAACCCAGGGTAAAATTAATCATTTAGTGATGAATTCACAACTCGTAAGAAATGAAAAGGGAAGAAAGAATGAAGAAAATATGGATATCTGCTTGCTGCTATTCAAGCCATTGATTCACTGACTGGTTGGTGCTATTTCAAAAGAAAAGAGCCTAAATGGAAAAAAATTAGGGGTACAACAGCTCCCAAAGGCATAAGCACAACCTATTTTAATGCGCTACAAGTATCATAACAGATCAAACCAGCTGAAACAAAAACCATAATGATCCCAAGTACAAGGAGGTTACATACAGAAGAAGGTATTAAGTCAAAGTAAGCAAAGACACATAAAACAAAGTAACCACAAAAGAAAAAAAAAATAAGGCCAAAACAAGATGTGGCTAGCAAGAGACATAGCAGCTAACCCACATATCACCCCACAAACACACAGAGGGAAGCCAAGAAATGGTTGGTAAAGCTACTGACTGTGCTAAAAAATGATTTTTCCCCCTTTTTTTTTTTAAATTTGGTCACAATATAAATAATACACAATATAATGTGGCAACCAACAATAACACAAGAGCTCGGACTTCAATTCTTTAGAAGAGGGCAGTTATGTATTTACAGAAAGCCAAATGCTTCTCCTAGGAGTTCATTCTTTGATACTTGGCGACTTGGCTGAAGCAACCTCAAAACCATCATACAGCTGCTGAGTAAATAAAAGCAGGATGGAAGCAAGCAGCTTTTAGCAAAACCTTTACTTTTTCTGAAAACAGATGATCCTAATACTCCACGGAGCTGATACAAATCAGAAGTGGCATGGCACAAGCTAAGAGCAAAGATGCATCCCTGCTCACGAGTCCATCTGGTTCCACTTTGCCTCTTCCTTCAGTTCTCCACTGCCCATTAATTTCAGGCTGATTCTTCAGGGGCAGAGCAACATTAGATGTCTACTTCTATTTTAGACGCCCATGCAACAAGCCCCACAGACCTCACTGTTCAGAGCCGTGCTCAGGGCTGCTCCTCGGTGCAACCAGCTGAGCCCATCCTTCCTTGGCTGCTCCATGGGCCACCCACCCACCCTAGAAACAGGCTCCTCACTCCAACAGCCATTTACACGAGGAACAGTGATGAAAACATGATTTGGAGAAAAGTGGCTTTTTTCCCAGGCTCTGTTACTATTGCATTTCTTCCAGAGAAGCTCTAAGATGTGGTAAGAGAGCGCAAGAGGTTTTGCTGTACAATTCTTCAAACTCCAATATATACACACAAAACGTTTCCAAAAGAAATCCCAAACACAAGTCGGAGTCAATCCCCCTGTGGAAAAGCTCCTTATATCCATCTGAACCAAAGACCCTTAAAAAAGCCCAACAAACAACAAAGTAAACACGTTCTGGCAATTCAAGAGCCAATTCAATGCAGTGTGCTACTGCCACAAGGCAAAAGCAAACCTATGCAAGTAATTTTCTGCTGGTACAATTTTCTGCAGGTACAAAATTAAGATATCACCTTAAGAGCCAGGATGAAGCCTGTGAATGACACCACCACTCTCCTGGCTCAAAGAAATGCTTTATAACAGGGCCAAGGCTTGCTATGCAGGACAAATTTCCTTTGAATTGCAAAGCTTCCGAAATCTGAGGGATAAACTTTCAAGGAATCAAGGGCCATCGGGAATTCCCTCATCCCCTCCTCCACTTTTAAGATTTTTTTTTGTTTTTTGTTTTTTAATTAAAATTAACTTTCTCTAAGAATAGCACATGCCCACTAAAATCCTTCCCAAGAAAAGATCCCTTGGGTGGAAAGGATGACAGAACACACAGCAGAGAGATTTTGGCTAAAGGACCACTGCAAAACATGCTATACGTGGACACGGAGCCCTAAACCTCAGGTGGTTCCAAATCAGCGGATCCCAGGAACGCAGGTATCATCTGCAGCATCTTCACTTGCCAAAAACAAAACTTGGAGTTAAGATGACCAACAAAACTACTAAGGAAAAACAAAAGCCAACTGCAAATTCCTATTTAAAGCTTTGATTAATCTCTACAGAACTCTAAATTTTCCATACTCCAGATTTAAAAAATAAAAAAATAAATTAACACTGTCAAACAAACCTGAGTTGTTATTGACTAGTGCTCAGAGATCACTAGGGTAGTTCTGACTGTGCTGTTATAGCTGCAGGCTTTTTTCCATATTTACAAACCCTGTCTCATTAACAAAGCAACATTAAGGGTTCATTATTCGAATCCTCAAAAAGTTCCTCCAGAGCTCCAGGCTATGCCATGCCTCAAGGTTTCCACAGATGCTGAGGGGGTTTCTGTATTGCTTAATGGGAACGCACAGTCTCTTACTGACCAGAAGGTCCCCACGACATGTTATGCCTTAAAAACAAGGCATTTCACTTTCATGTAGCAGTGATGAACTAAATTTCTCTTGGGGTGAGTTGGTAACAGAAGTGTTTATAAGCACAGCCTCTTTTTCAATTTCTACGAGCTGTGGCCAGTCTTCCAGCTGTAACAGCGAATGTGCTGCATCGTACACTTTTAGAGTATAATTCTGTATTTCAATGCAGTATTGCAGTAAGATTCTTCAGCAGGTGGTCAGTCCTCTGTCGAGCCAGGAGTTGGACTTGACGATCTTTGCGGGTTCCTTCCTACCCGGGATTTTCCATCACATTGGCTGGAGCGAGGAGAAAACGAGCGTTTAGCACTCTACAGGACTTGAGGCAACATATTCTTTGCTCCTTCAGTTTCTTTCAGAATAAAATTGGGATGAAAATCTACTCATACCTTGGAAGTATTAGACAATTTCAACAGCGTTCATAAAAGAACAGAGGTATTTCAGCTGATGGAGCTACTCACATAATAACAGCTTTTGGGAAAAAAAGTCCAAGTGTGGCACAGGTACCCCAAGAAAATGATTTCTTTATCATTTATTACATCAACTTTCAACAGCTGCTGTACTTCCTTTCTAAGAAAGGATAGACAAGATTTTAAGAAAGGATTGACAAGATTTATGCAAACTGGTCTTCCTCTTCTTTGTTATAAAGCCACTTCCAAGGCAAATGCAGTAATCTGAACTTGGTCATTTGCAGCTTTAAAGACTCCAGCTACATAAAGCTATTTGTTTCCTTCAGAATTAACGTCTTTTGCCTTTTAAACATGCATTGATAAGGTGTTTTGCACTGCCAGGCTAAACAAGCTGCTGCAATGCAAGCATCGAACAGTTGTTTTACATTATGCACGTGCCCTTCCTTAAATTCTTCCTCAAGTCAAGCACTGAACCTTCATTTAAATCACTGTTCAGACTCTTGTGGAATTCAGTTTATATTTAGCAAGAAGATATCCTTATCTTCCCATCCTAGTGAAGACAGTTCTGCTTAAGAGACCAGCCAGCCCACCAGCACTCTGAGTTTTAAGGCTGAAACAGCAGATTAGCATTAACTTCTGGTATTATCTAGGTCTATGTTAACTGGAAAGCCAAAAGGCTCTAAGGTGTCTGAGTAAGCACAGCTGTCTCTAACAGTCTTTATAAAGAGAACTGCGATTTAAAATTTAGAACTGCAAGAATTAACCCACTTCCCAGGCCAATCCCAAAATGCCAGAGCAGTGATTTTATTCCATTCATCACCACGCTATAAATAAGCATCGCTGTGATGAAAACATTGACTATATGAGGATTGCTTTGTAAGCAAAGTGTGCGTTCCCAGCTTTATTTTGACACAAGTTTCTCCATCCTTAAAGCAGTGGAGGGTCAAATGCAGAATATAATTTTAACCTCGTATCTTTAGCTAAAGGCCATCGTTAATACAAATTGGTCCACAGTGTGCTCTGGACCCTAGCACACACATTTCCACAAATAAGCACTCCATCTATTATAGTGCTTGTGTATATACTCAGAGCAAGACCACCCTCGCTGTAAATCAGTAAAGAAAAAGAGAGGACTCTGAGGAGGTCCAGACTCAGCTGTTCAGGCTGGACGGCAATAGCAGCATCATTCAGAAGCACATACCGTGCACCACGACACTGGTTGTGGGATTTATTTTTTCCAAGGAGATACACAATGAACACATAGTGATGAGGCAAGAAAAAGTGAATGAGTTAGGCTTGCTCTGCTGCATGTTGAACAAGGATTCTGTTGTCTTGTGTAACAGGATTCTCCATCAGAGCAAGCCAGGTATGTGGACAGTGTTTTAATTAAGTTGCCTGCTCTGCTATCAAGACAAATAATCACTTGTGCCATGCTCAAAACCGTGCATTTGCTGGCATAGCTAACCTAATAATCTTTCCTTCTTGACTCACTTTTCAGCAATGTTAATTCAGAGACCATTGTTTTGGTAATCTGTTTAAAACACCATTGAACTGGCCTCTAAAAAAGGTTAGAAAAAGTGAGCAGTAAAGGTAAATTGTTTAAACAGGCAAATGTGAGACTCTTCAGCCTCACATGCATTCTCCAGCTTAGCTTTGATTAGGCTGGCTGTTGGGTTCAATCTAATTCCCCACCATACATTCAGAAAAGTTCAGAGTCTGGCTCACTAGCTGTGCAACATGACTACACTAAAGGTATTATTTTTTTTTTCTCCCTACAGCCTTAACTGAAATAAATCACGTTTAAAATTGAAGCAGCAATATTGTTTGTGTTAGGGTCTGTGCTTTAAAAATGCGTGTTTTTCCACATTTATGTAGAGGTCAGGACACCCACAAGGAACCTCACACACTGCAGAACTATGCTAAGTGCATAAAAATTAAAAGGTGAAACATTTTTCCTTAAGGTTTTAGGAGAAGCTTCAAAATATTAGCAATGCAGGCATTCAGAGCCATTTGTCCTTTGGAATGTGTGTCTATAACATGCAGGTATCTGAAAACACGTAACTTGATTAGTTTTTAAGTAAAAGCTGCAACCAAACTGAAAAATGAGTATCTTAATTGCATGTGAACTCTTAAGACTTTGCTTTTCCTTTACAGCAACTGACATCATTACAGTAGTAGACAAAAACATTGCCTGTGTTACCTGGGGAAGCCACCTGAATGCAAAGAACAGTCCGTACAAGTCATCAGTAGTTCCACAGAAGACTTGTTTTAGCACAAGACACCCCCCTCTCCCTCCCCCATCAGCCTGGATTCCTCCCCTCTGGGCCAGCCTCTAATAAAATATTATAATTTTTCCGAGTCATTCCACAGCCCCAGATTTTCCTGTTCCTGCAGAACACAGACGTGGCCTAACGGATGTTGTGGAAACTCTAGAAGGAAGCCTGGCTCCATTCATCTTGGACCTAAAACCACTAGTAAAGTCACTCCCACAAATCCACACGTTGCTAAACCTTAATTTGATCCATCAGATGTCCAAGGGCCATACATTCTTCATGCTTTGTTTATTAAATGACATTTAAATGTACTCTTGTGTCCAAGGCCGATGTAATTGATATTGGAAACAGCCCAGCTTTGAGTATTTGCACTGAATTCCAGCACTGCAAGAATTATCAAAAATGAAATGAAAAATCCATTAGCTTTTCTGGGAAGAGGCAAGCATAAGATTGCAAATCTGGACTTATCCAGTCAGTGATGTCATAGCAGAAACTTTATGTTAATTACAAACCTTTTCAATTCAGCTCAAGGAAGGGCATCTAAAGTCTCTGAAAGGTGACTACTGTTCATAAAACAGGATCCTTGGCATTCTTCTGCTGACTTGCTGGATAAAATAGGGCTTTTGCTGGATTCTGCATTATGGAGCTTACCGAGAAACAAAAGCTAGCCATCTGGCAGGCACAATGAGATGCCCCAGAGTTTGACTAGTGACCTGCAGGTGAAGGCTTCTGTATCTCATTACCAGTCACAAGTCCCATGAGTCGTCACAGCATATCAATATCTTGGGAAGTCTCGACTGCATGTGTCAGGAGTCCAGCTGGTGTTGGAGATATCCAGCAACAGCTACAGGAAAGGCACAGGCACACTCTCCAGCTCTTTACCTTGAAGTTTCTATAGCCTGGCTTCCCCTGCCACCCCCCCACCCCAATCTTTGAAAGCTCTTAGATAGGTTTCTAATCAGGATTCGAGCTCATCGGGTGATCCCCTGACACACACACACACACCCCCCAACACACACTCCATTAGAAAGATTTGAACAGACATTTCAAGGGCTTGTAACACCAGCAGGAACCTGGAAGAAAAAAGACACAGTTCAGGCTTAAAAACAAAATGACTACATGAATACAGAGCCAGAAGTGAAATTGATTTTTACAATCTCATGCGAGAGGGGTTGCTAGCTCCATGCCAGCATCACACTGACCACTCACACACATCACGATCTCCAGTTACCATCAAGGTATCCAGAGGTAATCCTTTCTAGCTGGAAAAGCGCCTGCTTAAAGCCACTCACTGAATGGAAAGCTGGCTCACAACCACCGTAAGTTTCTTCAGAGCCAGACCCCCCTTTTCTTTAGCCAGTAATCCTTGCATTAGAAAACCAACTGGCTGCAGATAGCCTGGAGTCCATCACACCCATCAGCAAGCTCAGGAAGAGCAGCAGGTCAAAAACTCAGCTCTTACACCATGAGGCTGTCAACGTAGTTCTGCTTCCACTCTTTTCAAGTTTTCACGGGGTCTGAATTTTATTTATGTTTTGAAAACATCTTCTATCCTCACTAGCTGTTCAGCTAGCCATCTGCATTCAATTATTTTATCTTTCCCCTCAAAAGTGTATACTTCTTAGGCTTTTGGACTCGAGATACAAAGAACCCCAGCCACATTCTCATGTTCTTTATGGTCTGTGCAGCCATTTACTGAGGATAAATTCTCTAGCTTCATATATCTTCAGTTACCAAAAGGCACACAAGCAGATTTGAGGCTTGCCTGGAAGCACACTAGCTGTATGAAGCAAGCTCATGAATATTGTTCAAGTATTTCAGTCAGAAGGTTATACATGTGTAAATTCATTACTCTGGGACTTTTTAAAAAGTAACACATACTAAAATATCTAAGCATTCTGCTGTAATTAGAAACTCAAGCAGAGATGGTTACTTCCCAAATCTTTAACTACAAATTATCCTTGAAAAAACAACCAGTGAAGCTACTGATTGCTTTATCAATAAATAACTTTAGCTTTATTTCTTCCTTGGCAGCAATAACTTGATTCTCTACATCAAGGAGGCTTTCACATTTAACACTGAAGAAAAATGGGAATAAATTGAACATTATCTGAATACCGATCCTACTGGGAAGAGATGAAAGTCATGGCTGCAAACAAGCCCCACTCTCCTGGTGAGTCTGCTTGTCCATTTTATGATCCAGTTTTGAAAGGATGATTCCCCATTCCCACTTCATGCCAGCCATCTGATTTTTCTGAGTCAGCGAGATTTTTCATTTCATTTATATGTGCACAGACAGGCAATCATCCAAATTAAACATTCAGCAGGAAATTCTTATTCACAGAGGAACCTGCTTCACTTTCACCAAGACCGAGGGCACATCAGCTTCCATATCCAAGCCAAAGCCATCAGAGCAACCCTGCCACAGACCCCTTGCTGCATGTGGCCCCTGAGCACAACAAATCCAGTGTCCATCCTCCACCTTTCCCAAAGATGCACCCCTCCAAGCCATGCCAGTGAAGATGTCTTGAAAAGAGAAAGGCTTCAGGAAGGCGTGATCCCAGCTAACATTCACCTCCCCTGCCTTGTGCTTCCAAGGTGTCCTTGGCAGAGATCCTCCACAACAGCACTGCCTGAGAGCTGAGGCTTCTCTTGAGGAGATAAAAACAGCTAAAAGGATATGAGGACCAACTTACTGCACAGCTGTCACCTTCAAAGAAGGGAAACAGGAGGACAATTCTCCAAGATCGTTCTGATCGTGCAGTATAAACCATTTGCCCACTCTATCAGCCTCCTTATTTCATGCCAGTCAGTGGGATTTGTGTGAGCAAAACCAAAGCCTTACTGTCAACTGATAAAAGAAGCATTTCCATGCAGAAAATCCCCTTAATATTCCCCTTTCAGCACGGGATGGACCACATGGTTCACAATTGACTTCTGTAAGCACAGAACATCAACAGCAGCCAACTTCTGCTGGGGAACTTGAGGCAGTAAGGAAGAGAGACAGTATTCATGATACAGATTTTAATTGTGGAGCAACGCTACAAGTGCTGTTGCTTGGGGTATCCTCACGATGGCTCCATCTCAGAGCAGTGCAATCCCTGGTAATGTTCCCCTCATGGAAAATGAATGACCCTCCAGACCTGGACAGGTACACACCCCGAGCCTTCTGCCAGCCCAGTTTCCAGAGTTCTATAGAAAATTATTCTAATTTAAATTAGTTGTCCTTAAAAAGGCATGTGCCTACGCTAAACACTTTTTGTAGTGATTTCAAAGTCCTCCTGCACATTGACAGCCTCCAAGTAGCCTATTTACAAATAAGGACTAATTGGATTCCAAGCAGAGCCTTCCATGCCAAGGCACATTACCAGCACCGCACACAACTGCTTTCAGCCTGCACTTCTGGAGTCCTGTGATTGACAAGGTCTCTAATGAACTCTAATTGAGGACTCTGCAGTTGGAAAAAGCAACAACAGATGTGGTAAAAGGGCAACCCACAAACTGGTTTGCTAATGAAAGAAAAGTGCCTGGTCTGATGAGGGCCAATGACCCAAAAATTCTGCTCTTCTACCCACCCTTTTTACTTTTGTGTTCAAGTCCAGACCCTTTCCCTTGGTCAGCTCAACACTTGGGGGCAGTGATGTACAGCCCTGAGCATATTCCATCCATTCTTACTGGCACCAGGATGCTCTTTCATTAAAAAGCAGAGTTTAGACAGAGTAACAGGGACCTCAGACAGGGAACTTAGTACAGCAATCCTCCTCAGCAGCATTACAAACCTAGGAAGGTGTTAGTTTCTTCCTATATCAGTTTTGGAAACATTTTTGCATACAAAGACACATTTAAGTCATCACCGTTGTCTTCCAGTGGACCTTAATCAGCACAAGAACAGCAAGTTACGCATCAGCCTGCAGATCAGCTCCTATAGAAAGGCTGCAGAAAGCTGAGCTGCAAGCAGGCTTCAAGAAATAACCTACACTTTACACGGGGGGGGGAAAAAGACTCACGCCTCTGCTTCAAGTTTACTCCAGCATAGAAGTGTAATGAAGCAAGGAAACCAAGCACAAAGGAAGCAGAAGTCAGCGTGCCATCGTTTATAGTTCTATCACAAATTTAATGAACCTGCTCATGCTCATCACGCATTTGTAGCCTGGCCTTCAAGGAGGTTATTGTCTGGTAACAGTACAGCAAACAGAATAAAAACCATCAGCTGTAAAGGTTTAGATGAAACTTGCCAAAAAAAGGTCAAAAAACTATTTGCTAGTCTGGCTCATGATGTTTTTGGAACTATTACAAGGTGGCAGTGTGTGTAATGCTCCTGTACAGAGTTCAGACTTCTGTCTTGTGGAGGTCAGGCTGAGAGTGGGCTGCAGAAGAGGTCTACAGATGTCTCAACAAAAAAGAAGCCGTACTGGATTTAACACGTTATTTCACCCCCGCCCCTGAGAAGGGACTGCAGGAACTAGAGTGGGAATCCCATGGACCCTCCTCTTAATGCACATGGTTCAAACCGGTCTGTTTCATGTTATGCTCCCAATATGAAAAAAATCCCAGTCAGTGTGATGCCGTTGTTAAGCATGTAGAGCACTAATGAGCACCATCCAAAAGTAATTCCAACATTGAGAGGGAACCAGCAATTTTCTGAGTCATTAGAAAAACCTCATACCAATTATACAGCCAAGCTTACCATAGCTCCCCACACCACTCATTGTTCTGGTCGGTCCTTAGAGTTGCTTAAACCCTGATATCCCTTCATTCCCCCAAATTCCATCAGAAAAATAGCCATGTCACACTAGATCATACCAAGGATTTAGTTATTGTGTCCCACCTCAAGCAACAGCCACAAAAATGATGCCTTAGGTTGCCAAGAGTTTTGGTGGCACAGATGTAGCCAATTAGGAAATTGTTTCAAGTAAAAAATAATCCCTTTCCTGCAGGGAATAATTTCCTTCCTCACCCACAGAGCTTTCTTATCTATACCTTGGCTTGTGTAACCAAACGCAGTATTTAAATAGAGTTTGATAAATCTATGTCAGCCAGCTTTTTCACCATAGGACTCCTCCCAAGCTCACTAACACCAGCTTCAATTCCACTTCGTAACAGACCTCCTCAGCTCAATTTTTCCCCGGTAAGCAGCCACTCTTCTATGTATAATGATGATAAATAGTTTGGATACCATTTAAAGGGTTTAATTAAGAGGTACTAGTTCAAGTAGTTGCAGAACCATCAGGTTTTTAATGTCTCTGGGATAAGGTTCGCCACCATCATGCATAAAATTCAGACCTGCACAGAAAGGGGATGTAGTTGTCACAAGAAGGTAGGAGGAAAGGCTTAGTTCAAAGGCCTAACAGCTGTGCCAAACCAATGCACCACGTTTGGAAGCTTAGGTCAGAAAAGTGTTAAGCATAAGCCATGTATTTGGACTGCACAATGGAAACAAGTTTTCACAGCTCCCCATCCAGCAGGTTCTATAGAGATCACATCTGCATTTCAGTGATACTTTAAATTGCTCCAGAGGAAACTGTGCCACACTGTTTTCAGGGATGTTATTTGCTTTTGTAGGGAGAAAATTCATGTGACCAAAGCCCAATTACAGTTGAAGCTGGCCAGGTCTGTGAGAGACAATAAAAAGGGCTTTTTAAAGTATGTGAATAGAAAAAGGAGGACCAGAGAAACATAGGTCCGCTACTTGATGGGGAAGGTCACCTCACAGACAAGGACATAGGCAAAGCAGAGATGTTTAATGCCTTCTTTGCCTCTGTCTTCAACACCGATGATGGGCTTCAGGACCCCGGGTGCCCTGAGCTGGAGGACCATGACAGTGGGAAAGAAAACTCCCAACCAACCCTGAACATGCGCGGGTTTTGCTGCTCCACGTGGATCCATACAAATCCATGGGGCTTGATGGGATTCATCTCAGGGTGCTCAGAGAGATGGCTGATGTCAACATGGGACCTCTCTCAATTATTTTTCAATTGTCTTAGGAATCTGGAGAGGTCTCAGTAGACTGGAAGCTGGCAAATGTGCCAATTTTCAAGAAGGGCGAAAAAGAAGACCCTGGTAACTAACAGGCCCATCAGTCTCACATCAGTGCCTGGTAAAATTATGGAGATTAACCTGAGAGTTCCTGAAACACACCTGGGGGACAACACAGTCATAGGTGACAGCCAACAGGTTCCTGAGGGGTAGGTTCTGCTTAACAAATTGAATTTCCTGTTCTGGTAACAGCCATCGAGTCGACCAAAAGAAGCCAGTTAATGACCAAAAGAAGCCAGTTGATGTCATCTTTTTGGATTTCAGTAAAGCTTTCAATATGGTTTCTCATAGTACCCTACTGGACAAAATCTCCAGCACACAGATGGATAAAACCAACACGATGGGTGAACAATTGGCTGATGGGCAGGGCTCAAAGGGTTGTGGTAAATGGGGTTACATCAGGCTGGCGGCCAGTCACCAGTGGAGTCCCCCAGGGCTCCATTTTAGGACTAGTTCTTTTCAATGTTTTCGTAAGTGGTTTGGATGTAGGACTTGAAGGTGTTTTGAGTAAGTTTGCTGATGATACAAAACTGGGAGGAGTTGCTGACTCTGTCGAGGGGGGAAAGGCAGAGAGATCTGGACATATTGCAGAGCTGGGCGATCACCAACCGCATGAAATTTAACAAAAGCAGGTGCCAGGTCCTGCACCTGGGATGGAGCAACCCTGGCTATATTTACGGACTGGGTGATGACACGCTGGGGAGCAGCCCCGCAGAGAGGGATCTGGGTGTTGTGGTTGACAGCAATTAGCCTATTATAAAACCAAAAACACATCACATCACAGAATATGTGACTAAATCAGATGCATCTGAAAAAGGATGCTTGTGCCCATTATAAATCTTAAGTTAATTTTCTTTACTACCAGTTTATGGAAGGGAAGTAAATGTTGCAGGGTCAAACAGAAAACAGGTAGCAGCACAACACAGCAGGCTGGGAGTTTTTAGGACACTCACTGAGCTGCAGAATACCTGGTAGGGCATAATTTATAGATAGATTGGGGCATTCTCCAGAAGCCCAGTGTTCTAGTCCTGAAATGTTCTGTCTCAGGAAGGTCTTTGAAGCACGTGCCATCGCACACCCGCTGCACCTGCAGCACAAGTCCTGTGTCAAGCTGCAGGCTGGCAGGTAGTTATCAGGAGACTCTACACACGTGCAAGGGCACGCAGCAAGTTTGTATAAACCTTTCCAGCTGCTTTAAACAACAGCCTCCAAGCTGTCGATGACTTCATCAAGAAAGCTGCTAATGACCCTTCATCCAAAAGGATGTCCACACACACACCATAGTACCTGCTACACGTAGATTCATGACATTTTTGGGGCAATTACTGCATTCTTCAACCTTGCTGAAACACGAGGAGAGAACCACAGATCACCATACCTTGGAGATGCTTTAGAAAATGTTCTTACATACCAGATCTTTGTCATGCCTAGGGCTCAGCCACCATTTGGTTAGAGCATCCGGTACTCACCAAGTCAATGAGGTCACTGAGATTCTTCTCTATCTGCTGTGGAGGCAGACGCCTCATCAAATCCAAGGCACAATCCAGCTGCTGGTCACTCTGGGGAAACAAGAACATCCCTCGGTCACAGTACATACAGACAAGCACATCACACTCACAGCCACAAGAACTGCAGTGCTCGTCAGCTCCTCTGATACGACAAACACAGCTTCTATTTCTAATCAGAAATATGCTTTACATCAACACAAATAGATTTCAATGAAGTTCAGTTCCATTTGATCGATGATTATTTATTTGGTATTGCAAAAACCGTTCTAAACCACAGACATAAGGACACAGCTTAAGCTTGTGCCATGCGGTCAATTTAGCACCGGCCTGTAGATGGAAAGGAGTCCAGATCCCACCGAAAATTGTTTCCCACACTTGTGCAAATGTTTAGTGAAATGTTTTTCCATGCTACATCAACAATAAACAGAGTTAGGGAACTGAAAGTTCCTTTTCCTGAAGCAGTTTTAGTACATCCTCATCTGTGTTGTGCCATTCAGCTGAAGGTAACCCGTACGCAAGGCAAATTCTGTTCGGACAGAGCTCTCTCCCCCTCCTTCAGCTTTACAAAAAAAAAAAAAAAAAAAGTGAAACAAGCAGACAAAGGTAAGATCCATTATTTCCTTCTCACTACACAACACAAACCAAAATCAGTCTGTATCTGAGAAATCCTCAGCTTTAAATATTTTGCGAAGTTGCAGCAACGTATCCCAATAGTATTTGTTGCAGCTGGCCTCACGTCCAATTCCACCCACAAAAAAAGCTTAAAATTAATTTCAGAGTTGTAAAACCTGCCACAGACATTATCACAGACACTTGATAAGCAGAACCATGTTCTTGGCATAACCTTTAGCTCTCCTTCTCACTAAGGCAGATAAGAGAGACACTTTCCCACAAATTTGTGCCCCAAAATCTGCATGTTGCTTTGACCAACACGTCATCATCCAGCTGAGGCACAGCGAGCTTGTTTTCACCACTTCTTCCTCTCATTTTACTTCTCTATTTCTAGCTACCTGTACACAATGAGCTTAAATTTAATTTCCTATCTTCAGCCAAGCTCTAAAAGTTGTATTTAAGAAAAACTTCCCAAATGCAGCAGTTATGTGATCGCTTTATTCAAGTAGCATCCCCCACATCAGCGAGCAGCAGGGGGAAGTTGAGCATCCTGCAATGAATCTGTACCCCAGCAATGAGGAAAGGAGGGATTTCTCAGTTTAGCAGCCATCCATTACAAAAACAGTTCCAAAAAGGCACTGCCCATTCACTATCAAAAGATAAATATTTTACAGACAGCGACTCAGACAGCTGGGTTGGAAGAGCTGGTGTTTATTTCTCATCCAGTTCAAGTTTTAGGACATCCTGTTTGGAAAAAGCTCCGGCTCTGCAGACATTTAGGCATTGACTCATCTGCCCGCAACAGTCTCCTGGATGTTGAAGCCTCTGACCTGAAAAGCAGAAGGCACTGATGCCAGGAACAGAAGTTGTGGCAGTCACCTGCTGCGATTGAAGCAACGATGCTCAAGTCACACAAATTCAGCCCCCACGCTCTTTAAACTTTTGGGTGATGCGACAAGCAAATCCTTGGCCAAAACAAGCCCGAAGTTAACTCATCTTGAAAAACGACCACAGATCAATTGACGAATTGACCATCATTCATGGGAAAAAGGGACGGCTGGGTTTTTCAACACCTTTTCCTTATCTCTGTTAGATGGTCAGTGACTGGAGGTTACCAGGAAGGGGCTGGAGCCTCCCCAGGCACCACCATCGAGCGAGGCTCCAAGCTCTGGGCAGTTCGATTTTCTCTGCGCTAGGATCCGCGTAGTTAGCGGGGTCAGAAATAGGAAGCCACTCCACATACTGTTCACGAGTGCAGTCACAAATGATTTCCTCTCTCTTTCCACACAGTAAACAGCCCTCTTCCCAGGAGGGGCCTAATATTTAAGATCAGATGAAGATGAAACATCAATCCAGGCTTGAGTAGAGGCGTAACCTACAGGCATAATTAGAAACTCATGGGAGAAAGCTCCCCAGCAACAGCAACATCCTTCTTTTCTTCAAACAGAGGGAAGGGAAAACTCACTATTTTCTATTAACCTTTTAGTCCCCAGGTAAAGCTGTGATTTAGATGGGCTATGACTGCCCAGCTCCAGCAGCCAAGCCCTGGCAGGGGACCTTTCATGCCACGTATTGTCTTTACCTCCTGCTATCTCGTACATCAAGGAAGGAAAGCTGGCACATGGTTGCAAGGTCACACCCCACACTTGGGGACCGTGGGAACACTTATGGAGGTGCTCCATCCTCCTCTGCCAGCTGGGGTTGTTTGATAGACAAAAAAACTAGGGAAAAATGATGTTAAAAACTACCATTAACCCAGAGTTGGTGTTTAATAGCATGGTAATTTTGAAATAAACTATCTGAATGAAGGACTGTCTTCTGCATTTGCAGCATTTTATGGATTAACCAAAAGAATTTGGACTGACCATCCTTACAATGGTACATTCAGTAACAGCTATAGGAAGACATAAGCAGGACTGTTTAAGGCACGGATTCTTAGAGGTTCAGCCATCGCTGGCATAAATGCCTGTGTGCAACCAAAAAACACACCACGAAATAGCCAAGCACATACCAACAGTTTTTGCATTTTTCTGGTATCAATGAGGTAAGAGCACAGCTGAGCACCAGGACTCTCCAGTTTTCTTGCAGAGCATTTAAATGGCTTGCCAGCAGACCTCTTAAAGGACAGAAATAAAGGCAGGTTCTGCTCTATTTCTGTGCTTACACAGTCACTTCGAGCCAGCATAAATCCACGCTGGCACTACCAGGAAGGTAACACAAAGCACACACGACAGGGCACAGCGCTGCCTTTCGGTACTGGATATATTTGTTATGTTCAATTTAACCAAACAGGTAAATGTTCCCCTTCGTAGTTTTTGCTCCTTGTTCATTCAGTGTAGGTGAAGTAAGGTTTTTAAAAACCAGGCCTGTGGTTGCATATACCCTTTGGTTTCAACCTCGGTCCCAGCTGGAGTATCCAAAGTAGCTGTGGATATTTAAGGGGAATCACAAAGATAGAGGAATCACATCTAAGGCGTCAAATCCAGCCTTGTATT